GGCGCGGGCAGCCGCAGGCCGCGTCCCGGGTCGGCACCCACAGCGCGCTGCTCCCGCGCCGCGCGCGCTCCTCGCCGCTCCGGAACACGGCGAGCACTGCCACCGGGAAGAGCGTCCACGCGCCGCGCTCCTCGCCGCGCGCGCCCACAGCCACCTGCACTGCTGTGGGGAGGGCGAGAGGGGCAGGGTTAGGCTGGGGGGGGGCCAAAGGGGGGGTCGCGCGGAGGAGCACAGGGTGTCTACATGGCGTGGGCAAGACGCAGAGGAGACACCCACAGGAAGAGCCGAAGTGGCGGGGGCAGCGACAGTGGGGGACCGGAGAGATGGGATGGGCCTTGGGGTCCAGCAAGGGTCAGGGAGGAGGAAGGTGAGAAGGTCGGGGCAGGAGGCCTGAGGGCAACCTACCGTAGTCCTTCCTGCAGAACTTCTTCAGGCTGATGCGGTAGCTGCCACGGGCAGGTTTGCAGTGTGAGTCGCAGTCTGCGGGGAGGGAGGGAGGCTGGCACACATTCCCTCTGCCCCTCCACCCTCTCCTCCTTGACCTATAGCCCCCTCCCCCAAGGTCATACCAGTCTGGAACCCTGTTCTGAGTCCACTCACCCTGTGGCTCCACAGGGCTGCTCTCCTCAGTGGGTCCAGGGACAGGGGTCTCTGCAGAGAAGGTGGGAGAATGGCCTGTGACAGGGCAAGCAGGGGGATCTGTAGGGCTGAGGGGACAGATGGGCAACAGCAAGGAGCAGGGGTGGCTGAAGCAGGACAGGATCACTCACTAACACAGGGTGCCACCGGAGAGCGGCTCTGCTGGAAGCCAGAGGCACAGCGGTTGCAGGTGAGGCCAGTGACGCCGTCCTTGCAGGGACACTGACCTGTGGTCTGGTTGCAGGTTTTGCCAGCAGCACCAACAGGGTGACAGTCACAGGCTGGGGGCAGAGGTGGAAAGGGCTGGTCAGAAGCACATCTGGGGTTCTGGGAAGCCAGTGTGAGGGCATGTAGGTGGCTGGTGGCGGGCTTACCCCTGCAAGCATGACGGTCACTAAGAGCACGGCCTGGATCTCGATAGAAGCCCTCCCGGCAGTAGTGGCAGTGACGGCCGGCGGTATTGTGCCGACAGTTGAGGCAGACACCCCCACTGCGGCGGCCAGACAGTCGGTACAGCTCCATGTTGAAGCGGCAGCGGCGGGCATGGCTGTTGCAGGAGCAAGCTGCAGGGAAGGATGGGTCAGGGGCAGGCCGGCCCAGCTGGAGATACCCAGGCCACCCTCCAAGGCCTCACCAAGGCAGGTGTGGGCTTCCCGGGCTGTGGCCCGTTGCCATGGCCTGTCGCAGTAGAAAGGCTTGCAGCGGCCGCAGTCAGGGCCCTCGGTGCCATGCCGGCAGTCACAGATCAGCTGGCCCTGGGTGTCCAGCAGGCACCGTGAGGCATGCCCATTACACTTGCAGCGCCCGCCCACCTGGAGCTCCATGGCTGAGTAGGAGTAAGGGACCATGGCCTCTGCGTCCCTGGTGTCCCCCAACATGGCAGGCCTTGTGAGTACTATGCGGATGTCTGTGGCGGTCACCCAGTCTTGGAGCACCGGGCTGCTGTCCAGATCCAGGCCTGGGGGACTGCCGTCCTGCACACTGAAGGCCAGGAGGCCACCACCATCGGGCTGGGCCTGGGGTGCGGGGAAGCACAAAGCCTCAGGCCCTGGGCCAGCCAGGCCGTCGACAGGAGCAGGAAGACGGCCGTAGTCCAGGCCGCAGTAAGAGGAGAAGAAGGCAAGTGGGGTCCAGCTGCGGCCGTGGTCTTGAGACTTGAGCAGGGCCACCGAGGCTGGGGGAGCTGAACAGAAACGCAGGCTCACGAAGACCAGCTCAAAAGCCTTGCCCAGGGACACTGTGAGGGTCACGTTGAGGGGTGCGCGTGGCAGCAAGTCCGAGCGCCAGCACAGAGGGCTTGCCGGGCCCCCTGCGGAGGTCAGGAGGGCAGCGGGGTGTGCCCGCCGCGGGTCCGAGGCGTCACAGGCCCGAGTGGCCGGTCGGCCACACGTGCTGGACGCCAGTACCTCACGGCCCAGGGCCGCATTCA